TCACAACTCAAGCATAACCATCATTCATTATTCATTGCATTCCACACATTATTGGAAAGAAAATACAATCATCGCATAAGAGTAAGTAAATAATTACATTTCATTTTCGTTTCATTAACTTACTCTGCATTTTAACATTTTCAAATTATTTTTCTTAGGTTGCTAACTACCCTTTTGCATTTAGCCTTTACCAAATTAGGTGTTAATCCATGTTCTAACTTAATTAGGTACTATTTCATTAATTGGGTGGTCCAATTTCGTTTGGGCCTTAATGGGCCTAAAGTCCAATTTTTCCTAAATTAATTTTTCTTTAGATTTTCGTTAACACTTTTGTTCTAAATCATCCCTTTACCTTATTTTGCACTTGAATGAATTAATTTAGGGTTTGGAACTTACTTTAAACTTACTTCCTAAAATTCCTCATTTAGGCCAAATATTTTACCATTTAAATTCCTAAGATTTTCTTCTCATTTTGCCCTACCATTTTAATAAAAAGTAGCCTAAATATGTACTCACTCTAAGAATTAATTTAATTAAAATTTAGAACCCTAATTACTGCCCAAACCCGTATTGGGCCCTAATGGGCCGAAATTGGGCCCAAGCCCATATAACCCATTTTCTTCAATTTTTAGCAAATTTTTCATTTCTACTCATCAAAAAATACTTATTAAAGTGTGAATGACCCATCAAACTAGAATTAAATTTCTTTGAACTCAAACCCTAATTTGCTTAGTTTAGGCCGAATATAATTCCCAAAAATTAGTAGATTTTTCTTTAATTAAAGTATAATTTTTCTTTCCTAAATATTAATTCATGCTCAAATAAGTCAAAATCAAGTGCCAAAACACCAATGAAATAAAAGAATTCAAAACTCCCAAATTGGGTTCATCAAAAAAACATAACCCTAATTTTTCTTAATTGAGCAATTAAATCAAATCAAGCAATTAAACATGAAATTGACTTGAAATTAATCATGCATGTGGTATAGGTGAGGTTAACTTACTTGTTTGAGCTCCAATTAGACTCTAAAAAGGTAGATTGGTGAAGGATTTCTCTTCCTCCTCTTTTCTTTTAAATTTTTTAATTTGATCTTCGAATTTTTCCCTTTAGATTTTCAGACTTTCCACTTAAAATTCAAGCTTCTTCCATTTATTAAAGGTGGATCGAATTTATTAAAAAAAAAATTGGGTGATTTTTAATTGAAAATTTTGTAAGAGGTTCTTTTGTATTTTTCAATTTTTCCTCCCCTTTTTATTTTTTCAGCATCCCTATTTATATGAAACCCTTAATTTAGGAAAATCTCAGTAGTTAACTCAATTTCAATAATTCATTTGCACTTGTCCCAATTGTTAGCCATTTATTCACCTTTTTATTTAATCCTTCCACCTTGCTTATTTTTTGCCATAATTTTTATTGGAAGTCAAAATTAATTAATTCTCTAGTTCAGCCAAAGTTGGGAAGAAAATGACAAATTTTGGTCCTCCAAGTTTCTAGACTTTTCCATAGCCCATTCTTTCCTAAGTCTCTCTTTTATGCAAAAACTCACTTATAATCTTTCCTTTTTAGTTTTTAGGACTAATTTGTAACCTTTAATATTCTTAGATAACTTAATTTGGATTATTAGATTTTTAATTTTATGCAATCGAGTCCCTAATTTTATGCAATTTAGTTTCTTCTTTTAAAATTCCATTGTATACTTTTAAAAAATAAATTTTATTTCTAGAATAAATTCAAAAATTCATTAAGGGAGTTTGATTTAAATTTTCATAATTTTTGGCCCTAATTTGAGCCTTCAATTTATTTATTTAGGGTGAAAATTACACTATTTCCTATAAACAATATTCCCTATACTTACTAAAATTAATTTAAATTTTCTAGGCACTCTCACACATCCTATATGATTATTATATGCTCTTAAAAGAAATTTCTCATACTCTTAAGGTGCCTAATTAAATTCTTGACCTCTAAAAATACTATTCCTGGACTTAGAAAATTCAATGAATATTCACCATATCTAGAAAAATTCATAAAATCATATAACATAATCTAACACCCTTCTAACAATTATTCTAGACAAAAATATATATTTTTCATACACAAACAACATGCTTTAATTAATTTTCTCAAGCAATAACTACTATTCATGCACCGAAAAATCACTAAAATATTCTTTAAGCATGGAAAACTATTTTCACCCTTCTAAATATTCTTTTAAGTTTCTAGTAATTATTTCTCATTCTCATATATATATATATATATATATATATATATATATATATATATATATATATATATATATATATATTTTTTTTTTTTTTTTTTTTTTCACACGGTTTTAATATTAAACTTTTATTACATTCTTATTTTAGCGGTTACCGGGCATTACATTGCTAGTTAAGAATTCAAGTTCATAATTGTTTCTCTAATCTTACTTATGGTAGCAACTAGGGATTAATGATTATGAATAGATTTTTATTTAATTCCTTGAAGAACATAGAACTACATTAAATTCTCCTATATTGTGAGAGAATTATTTAGCTTCACCTATTTTTCTATTAATTAATGCTATTATTGAATTAAATCTAGATAGCTCGTTCTAGGTTGTTTGTTAGTTAGAGATTAACTAAATAGCTTATTTTAATTAACGAGTCATTAAGGAAAGATTGAGGATAACATAGCTCATTGTTGTTCTACGGTGAATATTTATGAAAATAATGGATTCTTTTTTGAATCAAGGATAAATTATTAAACCAAAAGTGGAGACTATCCTTTAACCAAAGCTTCTAATACTCTTGTTTATCTCTTTACTTAATTTAAATTATCTTTATTATTCTCTACAAACAAAACCCTCCATTTCCCTTTTCTTATGCTTTGAAACAATCGGACAATAGAGAAAATTAATTGAATTGATTCTCTATGGGATCAACTCTTGCTTACCCTAACTACGGCTTTATAATTAGGTCTACTAAGGAAAAGAAATAAATAATTTTATGGTTGTACAACACGCTACCAATATTGATAACTATGCATGCTAGGTCTAGATTATGTAAATACATGGTGGTGTGTTCATATGGAATTTAAATGAATTTATGTTGGATATGCCTTGGTTCGTCCTTGATAAATTCCGCCTAACGTTAAGCTTGGTATTCCTTGGTGTTTATTTATGTTTTATGTTCAAGTAAATGTTTGTTATGTCATTAGTTAGTGTGTGTGTGATATAGTTAGCTTTAAGAAAAAATGATACTTGTGTTTATGGTGATGATCATTTGGCTTAGTGATTAAGTTTAAGATTATTGGATTCTTTGATGATTCATCGTTGATGTTATGTTTGGATGATTCCATCAACACTAATTAGAATGATTAAATGGTATCCTCATATGTTTATTGATTGGTTATGTGATTGATATATCATTGGATGTATTTGGTATGTTATTATTTAATGCTTCATGGAGAATTATTATGTATGTTAACGGTAGGCACATCCGGCCTACATATTAGACTAAAATTTATGGGTCGTGTGTTATTATTTGATTGCATTCATGTTTTGAAATAATCTTCCTCATATTTCATGTTTTCAAAGGTAAAGCCAAATGCTTGGTTTTCAAGAAAATGACTAGACATGTCCATAATCATAGGCTCAATCACAAGCTTCAAAAGGATCTCGTCTAGTGCTTTTCGGGTTTTTATAGTTATGGTTTTCATAGAGGGCCTAATATATATACAATTGGCATGGTGCGCTTGGTTATAAAATATTTTTTCTAAAGTCATGAAAATGTATTTTTAGACATTATGCATACATGATTCCACCTACCGAGCATTAGATCATTAGTTGTCTTGTGATGTACGTAAATCATTGACATGTAAAGACTTAGTGCAAAGTTGATGATGAAGTCTGAAAGGAAAGGAGCTTGCCCAAGTGTGTATCGTAAATATAGTAATAGGTTTAAGCCTATTCCATTTTTAAAGGTTTAGGTACTCTGTCAAGTTTGTGTGTGAATAAATAAATAAATAAATATTTTGCGATATTTATGAATTCCATTAATGATTTGGCATGTTAGTTAAATAGTTAGATAAAGGAAATTAATTTAATAAAATGAGATATAGAACTTAAGTTAAAAAAAAAGGGTTTAATTCACACTTTAGGTCAAGTTTAAGGAAAATGCTCCCACATCACATAATGTAATTAAAGAACTACTTATCTTTCTAAATTGTTTCTACTTTTAATAAAATGATTCTTTTTAGAGAAATTAACGGCCAATAATAATAATAATAATAATAATCTACAGAGAATATGTTGACAGACTTGACAATTGGCTTATTGGCTTGCCTAGAAACCAACATATTTGAAGAGAGAAAAAAGCCTTTTAAATAATCTCAAGAGGTTGGGTTGTTGGTTAAAAAATTTTGTTTTATTTATTTATTGAGTTTAAATTTTAAAATCAATATAAAAAAGAATTTTATAAAAAAAATTAATTACATCAATCAACATAAGTGATGTATTTTTAAGATGTCTGAAAGATAAAATTTAGTTTCGAGTAAACTGAGTACATCCCTTGCTTCGAATCAGAAGGGGAAAAAAAAAAAAACGACTGCCTCCGCAAATGGACCTAATTGATGAAGAGAATCTACCTCGCTACTGCAAAAGAAAAGTTCAAATTACACGAGCTCACGTGCAGTACATGTGATGAACAATCACAATTGGATGACTAAAATAGCCCTGCTAAGCAACCGAAACCTCAGTTACACCACCCAAACGAACGCACGCTTCCTTTCTTCCAGATCCTGCCTTCTGCATCGCCATCTCCCATGCCATGATCGTTTCTCTCCAACTACCATTCCTTCGCCATCCTTATCCTTACCCACGTGCTTCTCACGCGCAAACAATTATCTCTCCAATCACATCCTCCTCAACTCTCTCGAACAACCTAGCCGCGCTCGCCTCTCTCAGCCTCCCTCAATATTCTGGCAGCCGTGTTCCTCTTCGACGACAGCCTCCGATCATGTACGCAGCCATCAGTCGACCGGAACCCATAGAACTCAGAGACGATTCTGATTTCCACGATATTCTCTGTCCGTCCGACTCTGACCTCATATCCATCTGCGGCTTCGGTTCTCTCCTCTCAGAGAGAAGTGCTAGAAGTACATTTCCAGATCTACTTAACTTTAGAGTTGCAAGATTGAATGCATTTAGACGCGTCTTTGCTCACGTAGCTCCTATTTTCTTTGAGCGTGGTATCGCCAAGCCTGAAACTAAGGTCTCTGTTAACTATTTAGCTCTTCACTATAAAAATAAATAAATTTAATTAGGTTTGCTTTTCTTAATTTAGTATTGCTTTTAGGGTTTTATTTTAATTTTTTAAAAAAAAATTGCAGGAGATTTCGAGCTTGAGTGTGGAGCCGTGTGGAGGTGGAAGTCTAGTAATTACAGTTTTTGAGATTAAAAAATCAGAGGTATTTATTTATAGAAATAAAAATGAATTACTACGTGATTGATATTGAGGTCTTGTGTACCAATTAATGATGTTGATATTTGAATAATTGAGTAATAAATAGGTGATTATATAAGTGAAGCTTAATTGAATTTGTTGTTTCGTCAAGTTAGATTCCTGCTTTTATGGAGAGGGAGCTCGAGTTCCGATTTCTAGCTGTAAGTTGTTGGATGACTGTTGATAGACATAGTTCCGATTTCTAGTGCCTATTTTGCTTTGTTTCTCTGTGGCAGGTGGTGCCTGAAACATTGGATGGCAAGCCATTTGATCGTCCGGCGGTATGTGGATTTGAAATTGTGTAAATGTTACTGTTTCATTTCATTTGCACGATAAGTTATCAACAGATTTGCTTGCTGGTTCGGGAATTGATGCAGGTGCTGTGTGCACGATATAGTGATGAGGAGTTTTTCCAAGTCAGATGCAAAGGTTTGTACAGGATTTTGCCTGTAATGTGATATTCTAGTATTGAGTATGGAATGTCCATGATTAGTGGCTCTGCATTTCTTTATGTTATTTATATGGCCAGCTTACTGTGATATTTGAGAAATGAGAACTATTGTTCCTGTGGTTTGGCAATTTAGGATGATGTTGATTGTCTGCGGAGGTTGCAGCTCTATTAAAGCTTAAAAAAGTTTGGAATTTCTAATATTTTAATCTCTGAGAGCTGCTTCTATTTGATCGATGAGAATTAACGATAATTTGATTATATAATGTAAAGGTTTACCATTCACTGCATATATTAATAAGCAATAATTGATGTTTTTAGAATAAGCAATAATTAATGTTTTGAGTTTTTCTCCTGTTGGTTATTGTTTGCTGTAACAGATGGGATTATTTTATCTGCTAGCTAATTTCATGCAGGAAGTAAGGAGATTTATTTTCAGCATTATGGAAGATATAACATCGATAAGATCTGGAGAGATGATATCTTACCTTGTCGTGCTTATCTTCGGCACTGGTAAGTGCTATTTTTGACAGGCCTACATTGTGTGCTTGCAAGTATGCTTTGATTTAGTGCCTTCAATCGGATGTGGATTGATATGAAACGTTGGTGATCAAATGTCGGACCCTTTACTCGTCAATAAAGAAATTTGACCAGTTGCTGCTGGAGATGAGATGATTTCTTGTATTTCTTTGAATTGTTAAACCAAGTGACTTAGTTAATTTCAGGCTGCCAAACAAATAAAGTTGAATGCCATTCATTTAACAGAAGTCCTTGAAGCCAAAGATTTCTGTTACTCTCTGTTTGCAATCCCAAGTTCTGTTCATATAAATTGAGGGTGATAAAATGTTGTGCAGTGTGTTAGCTGCAAAGAATCTCGGCAATGCATCTTACAACAATTTTTTGGACCAAACTTTATTTGGAGACCGCAAAACAACCATCCGTGAGTACCTAGCTACAACAGGAGCAGGCGTAATGGAGGAAGAGCCCCCAGAGTCCCTCAAGACACGTTATGGTGGCTAATATCAATAAATTGCTGCGCTACATATTTGCAGTCAAAGAAAGGTATTGGTATTTCAAAGTGGTAATCATCTTAGATCTCACTTCCTTTGAGCTGCAGATGGAGCAAAAGAAAGCTGTAGCTTGTAAACGTTGAATATGTTTGAAGTTCTAACTTGAATTCTTGGGTCTATGCCCTAGATAGGAGAGGCTCAAATTCAATTCAGTTGTTCAATATGTTTGAACCTCCTTAATCATGAACATTTTCTGTTTTGTTTTTCTTGGGTTTGTTGATCTTTGATTAAGAAAATACATATTCTTTATCTTACAAAAGAATTCTATTTTATAAACTTAGGAAGGTGTTTAATAGCAAGAACGATAAAAAATCTTCGTATCATGGTGCAGCTGTGTGTTCTATTCATAATTCATGGAATACCCGAGTGCGGAAAAACATGATAATAATCACATTGAACTTGCTATGAATGAAAAGTGTTTTTTTTTTTTCAGTAAGAATATACTTTAATAGAATGAAACGTTGCTTAGTTTTAGGGGAAAAAAATGGGAACTAGAGAACATGTTTCTCAAGTTTTCTGTTGTTGGTGGTGCTTTGCCGATGCCAATGACTGAAGCCCAGTTGTTTGGGTTTGGAACTGAAAACCAAACCACAAGACCCCGGGAAACCTTTGAAATTTTAAAATTGTTTGTACCTGCGTTTGTTTGCCTCTAAATATTAAAAAGAATGGACATTTGGAATACATCTGGTTTATATTAATATGTATCCGGTGATGTTTCCATTTAGAATGCATAATTTTATTTAAGGGTAATTTTTGCAATGATTTTTAGATGGATGACTTCATAAAAAAAATTCCAAATAGATAGAGAAACCAATAAAGAAAATTTTGTTGAAGAGCTATTGCTTATAATAAACGTTCTCATAGAACTCTATCCATTAGAGAGGCTGAAAATCCTAATCCTAACCAAACCAATCAGATCATTATGAAAATCCTAATCCTAACAAAATGGATCATATCACCCAAAAAAATTAACGTTCCGGATCCATCATCAGAACCAATTAATACCCCGATGCAAGAGTAGATGGGAAGTTATGCCTTTATTTGGATGAGAATTGAAGCGGACGATGGGGATATTGTCGTCATTGAGAAAAAGAAAGTGCTTGCTATTGAACTTTAAAATACCTTGAAAGCTAGTCTCCACCGACCATGGAAAGCTATTATAGCGAAATTGTTGGAAAGAACCATAGATTACAAGGTTTTATGCACTAAAATCAAAACTATTTGGAATGGTACTGGTTCCTTCAGTGTTATTTACATGAAAAACGAATTTTATCTTGTCTAATTGTTTAATAAATACTGTCTTTATGCTTTAGTGAATGGTTCACGGATAACTTGGGCATTGCCTCACTATGTAGTCTTGGGATCACAAGTTCCGTGCTTTAGAAGGACGCATCCCTAAAGTAGCGGAATGAGGGTTTTTTTTTTTTTTTTTTTTTAAATGATGTAGATTAATATCATCCTGGAATATTGCACGCCATAGGCAATTATTATACCCAAATTTCATTGAAGTTTTACAGCAGCAAATTAAAAACAACCCAATATTTTTTTGGTCATAAGGCTCATTCTATAGGCTATTAAAAATAGCTAACGAGCTCAATATCATTAAATCTATAAAAAGAGCTTTCGACCCACCCACTAAACAAGCACAAATTACATGAAGAAATATATTATATCATAAAAACAAGATCCATGCATAAACCCTTTCAAAGGATTTTTAGGCCATTCCATTCCAGTATAGGTAATTGTTACTTTTCATTTTGAAAGTACAAGTATCTTTAGGATTAATAATAGGATAACCTTGCTTAATAATTTTAACAATCTAATCCAGAATCCGAAAGATATACTACCTTACATATTTTCTTTCAACTATATTTTAATCTTTTATTTTAAAGTTCTCTTAATTGAAGTTGGTAAAAAAAGAATCTATGATAGTTTTTTTGATAATCATAGTATGATTGCTATTTTAGATTACACCGAAAAGAGCAAATAAAGTCTCATTTGTATGGTATGAAGGTGAAGAAGCGTACTCGCCGATGCAACAATTGTTATGAAGGCGATACGAGAAAGATGGAATCTATTGGAAGAGAGGTTCAAAGAGGCTTGCAAAGAGATACATATCAAATATAAGGTCATAGCTTAGCAAATAGAGGAGGAACATAGACTAAAAATGAAAGCCATAGATAATCACTACAAAGAGTTGATGACTACCATTGATAAGATGACTCATACCCTTGTGGAGTCCAATATGAAGGAGAGATAAAATACGAGTCTCTAAAATTAATTAGGCACGACTTAAATACCTTATAGACCTTAGAGAGGCAAACTCAATTAGCTTTAATCGAATTCTCATGGATGTTAGTAATCATCTAGAATCCAAGATTAAAAAAAGAGACTGATAATGTTATCGGTGATTCTAATCGTACCATGTCTAAGATTGTACATAGGATATCCAAGCAAATAGTTTTAGAAGTAGGAAATTAGTTAGAAGAAAGATTGTCCGGAAACACAAACCCCAACATGGCCTTTCAAAACCATCCCACCTAAGAGGGTTTATAACGATTCCTACAAAGAAATGGATGGAGATAGAGGAACCCTCTATTTGACCTCCCCAAATAACTTGGTAGAAATCCATTACTAGAGAAGAAACTAGTTGTGAAAAAAAACTTATTGAGGAATCACATGAACATTCATAAAGAAGAAATCACCTTTATATGCCTCTAAATAAAAGGGCTAAAAGGACAAACAATATAAAAAAGTGGAGACTTCCACTCAATGATCCCGGACTAGGACATTAACCTCAACAACCTTTACAACTAGATTCGGAGTATATACTAAGAGTTATAGAATAAGGTTTAGGCCTCGGGATCCAACAAGTCCATATGTCTACATATAATCAATTGTATGTTGACTATATAGACAGAGAGTATCCCTATTCACCTAAATTTAGATTCCTTAACACTCCATTTTTTTTACTAGTCAAGGAATAGTCACTACTATAGAGCATATAGCTAGGTTCATATGCAAATTTAAAGAAGCCTCTAACTATAATTATATAAAGTTTTAGATGTTTCCAAACCCTATTACACGAAAAGCATTCTTTTGATATATCAATCTTTCTCTCAATTCCATTCATTCTTGACGTAAATGGAGGCTACTTTCCAAGCCTATTTTTCAAAGATCGAACCTAAATTAGGATTATCAAACTTATTCAATTATAAACAATACATAAAAATTCTGTCAAAAAATACCTAGAGAGGTTCATATAGGCTATAAATATGGGCAAATCCTTCTAGTTTATGAACGTCATGACCATTGACCAAACTCTTTTTTATAAAATACCTAAAAGGACTTCACTTCTCTTTTTATCTATTAGATCCACATAAAAAATATTAAAATTAAACTTACAAAACATATGGATTGTGACTATAATTGTTAATGTCCGAAATATAGTAAATAGGATACGGTATATGTGAATGAGAAGGAATTGAGATAGGTGTCTACAACGGGAATACTTTTTTTCTCCTTCTTTTTAATAGGAAATATGGTTCAACAATAATGGCTATATCAAAGAGAGAGAGAGAGATTTTATTTTAAAAATATAAAAAATAAGTAAAAAATGACATGTTATGAAATAAAGTAATATTAAATTAAATTAAGTATGATTAATACCGATTAAATAATTAATTTTTTAAAATAAAGAGAAAAAATAATTTTTTTGAAAAATAAAATAACTAATTTATTACATAATACTCTAAAAAACGTGAGGTTCGACTATTCATCACCTATTCACCATCAACTGTTCACCACACTCGTCCGTTCATATATCCTTTTTTTTCTCGATTGCAACTTTCTCTTTTCTCCCAAGTCCCACAACTTCCCTCCGTACTTTGTTGCAACTCTTGCAGCACAACCTCACCCTGCGGAGCGCCCTACTCGCTAGCGGCCACCCTTTACTATTGCCACGACCAACCTCACACCATATCCTAGAAGAAAAAATCTCACACTATCATAATGGAGAACCAAGCATAATTACATATATAAATAATAGTAATAAACACAAACAAAAGAGTTAGTTAGTTTGAGAGAAAATGATTTTTGAAATTTGACGAGTAGCTAAAAAACGAAGAAAAATCAAAACTAAAAAAAAAGAAAGACTAAATTTACCTAAACCGAAGTCTGCAGTCCATATCATCTTCAATCAATTTTACTAGGTAATTTCCTTAATTTCATATTTTACCATTAATTTAGCTTTTGTTTCAGAATTTGAGGATTTTTTAAAATTGAATTGAAATTAGTTTAGGGAATAGAAATTAAGACCAATTAAAAAAAAATTGAAGAATAGAGTTCAGCCAAAATTGGGTAAGAATCTTGAATAATTAATTTGGAGATTTTTGATTGAAAAAGGAAAAAAGAAGGAAAGAAGAGAGAGAGCATGGACGAACTAGTTCTCGCTCGTCCGTGGTAGGTTCGGGAGAACTGAGAAAGTAAGAATAAAAAAAGATGAGAGAGAGGGAGGATTCAACAAAGAGGAAGAAAAAGAAAGGAAGGAAAAAAAAAAAAGAGATGATGACGGGAAGAGAGAAAAGGACGAACCATTGTTAGTTCGTACATGGTGAGAGAGAGATTTAGGAGATGAGGAAGCGAGAAGAAGAAAAAAAGGAAAGAGAAAGAAAAATAGAAAGAATAGTTGGAGAAGGAGAGAAAGAAAAGAAATAGGGTTTTGATCCAAGATTTATTTTAAAAAGGAGTTGGATCTGTGTTTTTGGGCATGGATTTAATAAAATGATGTGGGTTGGGCTTCAAGCCATGTAAAATTGAGCTGGACTAAAATCTAAAAAGAAAAAAGAAAAAAAATTTTGGGCTAGATCGGTGTAGCCGAACCAAAAAAAAAAAAAATGTCTTAGTTTTTATTTTTAATTTTATGCTTGTTATTTTATATTTAATTTAGAT